GAAAAAAGGCGCATAGTAATGAGTCGACAGAATGACCAAAGCGCCGACACATGTGACGAGGGTCTGAAGTGTCAAAGCGGTTTTACACACGCGTTTTTGAGTGCCTATCCACGATGTCTGTTCGGCCACCATACCAAGCTCTCTCTGAGAAATATGTTAATGTCTTCTGCGATGGCCGACATGACTGGTCTCGCGCTTCTTGTAATGTGTTCTGCATCAAACGTTCTCAGTACCACCACATATTGAGTGTTAAATAAGTCAGTGCTGCAATATCAAAATCCTCAAATAAAGAAATAGTTCGAGGGCTAGATGTGCACCCGAACGCTCTGACAAATCGGTATCTGCCTTTTTAAATGACTAGGACTGCTTTGCTTGTAGCAAATACACGCATGCTCTGTCTGACCCGTTGGCCGTACAAGATGCCGCATCATTTGGCAAAATTGCACCAAGGGTCGCAGTCGGTGCAGCATCAGTCGCTAAACCAGCTTAAATCTTATCACAATACGTATACTCATCAAAGAAAGATAATCATCTTGTCATTTCCTGTGTGAGATGTACTGACGATACCATTGCAAAATGACGCATGATCTGTTTAGATACTTTATGGCATGGAGCATAGCAATTTTATTCTCGACTAAACACGAGGATACTGTGTACTAAGAAGCTCCTTGTCACAAATAAGATTACTTTTTTTCTCTGCTGCGTAAAAATCACGAGAGTCCAACGGAATTTATGTGTCATATTCATTTGCTTTTACAAAATTGTTAAAAGGCGCCTCTTCTTCCGCAATCAAGCGCTTTTCGCATAACTTGAGAAAAATTGGCATACCATTGCGGCAAACGTGCACTTGATTTTTACGATTAATTAGCTAGTCGAGAGAAGCACTAGTCATTGTACAATGGCCTTAATCTTTACAAAAGATGAGTGCAGGCCACAATTTTAAATATAGATTCCAAAAAGAGATTTTGTCGGCGCAAAAAATCAGGCGTTCTCTTTTGGCGTAAAGCTTAATGAAGCACGCACACCCAAACAATGATCTTATGTAGAAAATCTCATCGAATATTGCTTACTTTCACGACTGTAGACGAGTATACCGTCGAAATTGGCTTGTGCCTTTGCACGGCGTACCTCATAAAGCTGTGTCACCAGACGATTGATCGTTACTATTCGGGCTCTGTGTCACATCCGAAGTATTCGGCTCAAGTTGCTTACTGCACTTTAAGGGATGGATACCATTGTCACATTCGAACAGTAAATCATAATCCTCACTTAGGCGAAGACTGACCATGCTATTCGTTTGATCACTCTCTTTAAAAATTAGCGTTTCAGGGCTGCATTTAGTTTCTTCTCAATTTGTACTTGTCGTTGCCTTTCTGACATATTAGATCGACAAAATTCATATTTTCTCAGCAAACCAACTTCGTAATTTGCACGAAAGAACAATTCAGGAACGTCACATTGCTACCTCGGTAAGGGCCACTGCTATTTGAGGCGATATTTGATTTCAGAACCAAGTCAAATTCAATACACACTCCCCTATCCGGGAATAGCACACGGTGAATCTCCCGTCGTCATGGACCACGTCTCGCCATTTCTTCAAGACCGAAAAAAAGAATATGTTTTCGCAGTATCTAATTGGAATGGACCATTTCAGATCGCACGAAGGAAAGCAAGAATCTAATTGGCGCAGAGCTGCTCCGCAGCAAATTAGCCTATCAATTTCTTTTCTCTTTGACTAAGGTCGCACGCTCAACTTTGTTACCCCATCCAACCCTCACGACACGAATGTCGCATTTGAAATGCAATGCGGCTCTCATGGGTTACATGAAAGACGAATCTGGATGCAAGAAGTCGCGGTGCCGGCCGCACCTACTCGGATATTCTGCATTAAAAATGTCGAGCGTACCCGCTTCGAAGAAAGTGTCTGACGTCATCGCGGCGTTAAGAGCTGCTATTTTCTGCTACTTTCAGCATGTTTACCGATGAAAAGAGCTATAAACCATATTATTTGTCCGATTAGAATGCGAAAACCCACGACATTCGTCGCATCAACTGCAACGCGCTGTTGCCCCATTTGAACCTCGACCACATTCAGGACCATCACAGTTTACCAAATCCAGAGAAAGGAATGTCTCTGTACCTCTGTTTAAAACATTTGACGCCAAACATCAGCACTCTCATGGTGAATGTCAATGAAGCCATAGCTAAGGTGATCTTGTTGATTTGTCACCAGCGCATCCACATTACTGGTGGACGCGACCACGCGAGTTATTACCGCATCTCAGTCCTTAGACCGCGAGATTTCGAACCTTTGCAGAACATTTAGCCTTTTGATGACATAGCTGTTGAGATGACTTGAGTGTTCAATATGTTTCGTAATTGTTAAGCATTTTGTCCAGATGAAGTTCTATTAAGCTGGTCCGCGCTAACAAGCGCAAAGTTATTAAGATCGAACACTATACCCAGGAGCGGAATGGAGAACCTCTAAAAAAGACTAGTTTAGGCTTCACAGCGAGACATATACTGTGATATATCTTTGGTAGTATGATACCAAATATCAGCGTTTTACTATCACTCAAAACATATTGTCTTTATTTCTAGTGCTTTGGTCAGCACCTCCGCTTGCTAATCTAACGTTGACGTGGGCTCCAATGTTACTACACTCTGGTTATCTGCCCAAACGTCCGCAACTCTTACTTGCTAATGACCCTCCGTGAGCATCCCATGGACCCACAACAGTTTCTGGGTACATAGGCCAATACCAATTATTTCATCTCCCTCAGATTTAGCGCCGCTGTGCGCTGGGAGTCGAACCAAAAATCACTTTTCGCCTCTCATTATCCCAATGGACCCGTGGCTGGTGCCCTTCATTGAGCAATGTTCGACAAGGTTACTGTCCCATTTGACATTTGTCACTAGCACGTAACTATTGCTACCACTGTTTATGTTTTGAAGTCACACATTGTCAAGTGATAGTGCTGCACACAATTCGCAGCCTAGAAGCGGGCTTTCAGTAATCGCAATAGCTGCGTCACTGCGAACGAGACGTCAGGGCGCCTATTGGTGGTGATGCGAAGCACAAATTCAATCAATGGCTTTGATTGCATCTCGTTCTTGCTAAATCCTGTTTTTGGCGACTGCAGCGGCGCCTTTGATCCAATTCACTCGAATCCAACAATGCCTCTGAATCCGGCTAGTTTAATTGACTGGGCTCATCGTCAATTTAACGCATCTATCTGGTCTTCAACATCTTGGCCATCGGATAACATTTATTTTCCATCCGAAGGATCAACTCGGTCTTGCCCAACTTTTCCATCGTTAACAGACCTTGAGCTACGTCTTGATCTATTAAATCGTCTTGGGTTAGCTGCGATGGCCATATCATCGACGTACGGTCAAATATACACCATCTTTATCGTAGCTTACACGAATTGGTCTTCAAGCTTTTTACGACGATCTTTGTCAACACCAGCTAAATTGTATTGTAATCCAACAGGTTGTTGCCACTTTTCTATCGTGTGTCGTAAATATTACATTATTCTGATGTGCAATATTCGATCAAGGAGTTGCTTTCATAAAAGCAGGAAAGCGTCGTAATCTGTCGATCTAGTTTCTGCCACGCGCATGTGGATTTGCTATCTAGTTCTTTATCACATCTGTTATGCTATAATTTTGCTCATGTACGGACCCACTCGCTATGCATCACGAGGCATTGTTTCAGCGAGAAAAAAAGTTTCTAAACTTAACATTGGTTAGAATATCAACATATCAATCATGAAAACTATTTTTCCGTGGTTGACATGAAAGGATTTTTTCTGCTAGCACTCTTGAACTGTCGAAAAAAGCGGTGTCATTGCGCTTTTCTATATGTATGGCAAAATGCTATTCTTGCATTACTTTACTACTTCGACATCACCTTATATGGTTGTCTGCTTACGTACAACTTGTGGCCGTACTATCCAAAAAATTAGAGTCTTGACTGATGCAAAATATTATTTAGAGCAGCGGACATGCTTCCAGCTACGATAAAAATATTAGTCACGAAAGCTGGTGTATCAATCGTGGCTTGTATAATACTATACGGACTGGAGTGATTCATGTGCAATAGATAAATCATTGCTCACTTCAGATTGCCATTTATATCAAATTTGTGTTAAAAACTTAAAGTGCCGTCTCGCTGTGGAGCACAAAATCTTCGACATCATTACAATTTGGCCGGATAGATGTAGACAAATGGCCTGATCTAGCTGTAGAACATCAAATCACTGCAGTTCCCGACTTTAATTCCCTTTCAATTGGGGAAAGAAAGTACGCGAGAACCAGCCAGAATGATAAAAAAGTTACGAAAACTGATCTTAATCGGGTAAGAATAATAAGTTTGTTCCCAAGAAAAAACAAAGAAAATGCTCATTTTCTCATGATTCATTTTGATGGTTTCAAGCTTTAATTAAGTATTTTAGATTATCAAACAGAACAATCTTAGAAATGTGAGCAGTTTCAACAGATGAAGACTTATGTGATGCCTGAAATATCGTTTCGATTTGTAATGTTTGATTACGTCACAAAACACAAAATAGCTGTTTCAGCGTGATATGGTCCCACACTAATCTGTATACATCACATAATATCGTGTATCTCGTCCGAAGCCATTCAAGAATCCAGCACAATGTCGTCAGCAGAGCTGAGATCCCGTTCAGTTGGTATAATTATTGTCAAAATGATGCGCCGCAATCTCTATCAGATGCCCAAGCCAGACCTAAGCAGGAGGTGACTCCACGTTGATTGAAGTCTATCAATCCTTCATTCGAAAAGCCCACCACGTCATACAGTAGACAAACAAGCTTCTTGTAACGTTAAAGATACTCAAGACGATACCTGCGTGGGTGCCGGTCTATCAATGTTAAACTGCACTAAGCAGTACACGGTTGTGGTAAGCGATGCGTTAAGCCGACAGTGTAGTACATCATCATCTGTGCCACCGAATTCAATCATTTTAAGCGGGTCAAGGACCTCAATTTCGACATCCATATGGAAGCTACTGTTTGCAACCTACACGATTATGCTATAAAACATCATTTTCTTGGTCTTGGTCCACCAACCAGCCGAGCAACATCAATCGAAGCAGTTCGAGTCTTCAATGCAATAGTTAGGGAAACCGGCACCGAAAATGATCTCACGCGCACTCCGTAGGGTGGAGTTGAAGATTTTTGAGCTCTTGTATGGTGCCCGCAAGTGGTGGTTTTCATTATCACCAAAGCCAAAAAAAAGGTGGTATTTAGTCGAGTCATCAGGTCTTGCTCTTTCGTCGACAGTTCCATTTCGATCGTGTTCTTCAGCTTCTGACTGCTGCTGGAGTTGGTTAGCGGAATAGGTCCAGCTGGGCTGTCAGGATCTCCCATGACAAAGCTTGGTGAGCTCAAAATCCCGCTGTGATGTTTTAGGGTTGCGTGAGACGCGACCATTCGATGTCTGAACTTCTTAAATGAGGACACGCTGACGCGATATGTTGAGCAGTGGTAAAAAGCTCTTGGCAGACCTCTCGGCATGTGTCTGGAAGTCGAAAATAGCATCCAGCTAGTTATGCTCTCGCATTCTGTATATACTTCCAAAGAAGTATGGAAGCCAGCTTGGAATACGGCTTGGCGTTTTCCGCGGAATTAGTTTGCTGCTTCATTGAGATTCCTGCGGCGTTCTTTGACTGCAAGTCTATTCTGGGTTCGAATCTTACATTGAGGGCCTGCATATGTCAACAGACCAGCTTCTATCATTGTTTCTAGCTTTCTCCTGTCCCTTATTCTGGCGTAGACTTCACGGTCTTGACGCTAAAATTGGTGAGAAAATGGCTGACTACAATTAATTCCTTTATTCAGCTGAATCGTTCCCTTACGAAGGTCCGAGCGGGAGGTGTTCTTATCGAGAGCGGCCTTACAGCAGTTAAAGTCCAGCTCGAGATTCTAGAGCACGTCGAAGTACTTGCTCATCGCAACTTCTACAAAGGGCTTCAGTCTACTCTTCATGGACATGCTGGTAAAATTGACCGCCTTGCGCATCTGCTTTCACTTATTCTAATACTTGGTCGTGAATTTGCAATAGGAAGCTCCAGGCGGTGCCAAAGAAGCTTTCGAGTGAATTTTTAATTTCTAAACAGCGTCAGAATCACCCATCTTTGTTGTGCTCTAAAATATCTTGCTGAAGAACCGCTCGTTGGTGTCCAAGCTGGGGGCGCGGCTTGCTAGACAATAACATCCTGCCTTAGCACAAATTTCAATGACGTCACTCTCGGTGGCTGGGCAACAACATCAGCAAACGACTGGTATAGACTGACGATTTGCGTAGCTGCCCTTGTCCTGGCAGCTACCGCTATCTTCGCCGCCATGATACGTTAATTTTAGAAGCGGTCGACAAGGATGTTCATTAATGAAGCTATACCTGTCTCCGAGCCTGGCTTTTCAAAAGGAGCCAAGTTTCCTAGGTCTTGCCCTTGTTTTGCAATTTCTCTCTTGACATTTTGATGATCTGGCCGAGCTGGTTTTGGTCAATGAGCTACTGCTGGGCAGTTTATTTGCCGTAGTCATTGATGTGGACGAAAGAAGTTTGTTGGGTGAGGGTCTCGATAGAGCTTGTCCAGTCCTAAGTACCAAATTGTAGCGCGCTCTGGGTAATACATAAAAACGGGGTCCATCACTCTGCGAAGAATGCGCAGTCCAGCTTCATACAGTGTATTGATCGATTCAAATTTTGCAGCAAGCGGCTTCAGCGATTCGAGCCGCTATGATAGGGTACGCATGGTGGGTGAGTGCGCACCCTGTCCTGCGTTTGTATCACAGTCGCTTTGGTGCCGCTTCACGTGACTCCACGCAAGGTCTTGTCGCAAGACTGAACTGCCATCCCATTATCAATGCGCATGAAGCTGACAAACCGACTTGGATTCTTGTGCACATTTGGTACAGATCTAGAGCCGCTGTCCAGGTCAGTACCAGGAGCTGGAAAGCGCGCAGGATTTCCGTTTTCGCTTTTGGCCTTTCGCTCAAAGAAGAATGGACGGTTGTATATCTTGTATATCTGTCGGCAGTAGACGCAGATTGCGCTGGAACCTTGTTCCCGCTGACCGCTTCGCTCAAAGGGAGATGGACAGTTAGGTACCCCGTTGGCAGTAAATGCGGGGTTCTCTGCGACAATTACTTGAGCGTGAGAGTTTGAATCCATGTCATTCATCAGTCTCGTGATTGGCGACATAGACAATGGGACATTCCAACTTGATTAGTGGATAGGTGCCTATGTGAACAGCCTCCAGCTAACTTGCGAATTGAATACTTGGGTGTATTATCAGCAAAATGGTCAACACCAATGTCTAGTTACACATTGTAAGGATTTAATGAATGCATACACTGATTACAACCAGATTATATTGTAATTTTCGTTTGTAAGAGTTTAGTTGAATCACATGGATATTACGCAATACAATCTCATTATCTAATGTTTAAATGTGACAGCAAAAAAGTTGCATTCTCGACTTTGATCTTCATAAATTTCCATTTCGATTCCAAACCAAAATGAAGTTGCAGTGAAGATTTTGATCAGCAAATCTGAACACACAAAAATTACGCAATTCATGAATGGAGTAAAATGTGAAAGAAGCTGTGCTGTATATTCAAACATATATTTATCTTTGAAACGACACATTGCCAATATCCAGATAGCCAAACGGCTGGGGTTTCTTATGCTTGATTAAGCATGTGGCACAATCTGTCGAAATCGTAGGTCACGTTAAATCCTTTCAATCAAATCGCTTTTACCGTCGCTCACTTGATCATCTCGTTTTCGCTTATGCGCTTTGTTGGTGCTTACTACCGGTGTGTTCCCGTGCTCATATATCGAACGATGATCGTTAGGCTTCGAACTCAATACATCTCTGGTTTTCGGCTTAGTAGAAAAGAGCTCTTGGAATGTCGTGACTTTCGTGGGTCTTGACTTAGCATGCATAGCATTTAAGACATTTTTGTTTTTTTGCTTAATAGACGTGAGCTCTTGTAATGTCGTGACTTTCGTGGGTCCTGACTCAGCATACATAGCATTTGATTTATCCACGTTTTTCTGCTTAGCCGATTGAGATGTTGTGACCTTCATGGGTTCTGAATCAGCAAACATAGCGTATAGACTGTCAAGCCATTTACGGTATTTACCACCGGTGATTTTGGCCTTTACAAAAACGGTCATAATGTCTTTGGCAGAAATCATGGAGTACAGCATTCTGCCTGCCGCCTCTGAAAAAGACTTCTTTAGAGTATCAATTGATTTCAACTGGTCCACCACTTCATCAAATAAACGCTTAGAAGTCAACAATTCGTACAGCTTGATGTCGGGATATTGATGATTTTTTCTGTAACGAATCACGTAATCGAGTACCGTTATGAGCTCAATATTGTCCGAAAGAGCTTGTTGATAATTTCTCACTGTTTTCAGTGCCACATCCGGTAATGTTTCGCTGATCAGACATTTTTCGAAAAAATGAACCCATCGGTTGTATATCAAATGAGCGAACACAAGCTCACTTTCCAGCAAAATTTGCTCGAAAATTTTTTGTTGATTTTGCATTGACTCGACTTCATCGCTCAATCCGTTGCGGCTTGGAATTATAGAAGAGGGGACGGAGTTTGATTTTGTATGGAATGCATAAAGGTCCCTGATATAGTCGACGTAGTCAAGCCACAATCGAATTCGTAAAAAATCAAAATTATTGCTTTTCCTGTCCCCAAGGAGAATCCGTAGAGCATTTTTCGGGGTGTTATTGTTCTTTATCCAATCTGAAAAGACAAAACGTGATAATTCTGGTTTCGAAATCATGATTCGCTCTACATCCTCTGCGAGGAGTCGGAATTCTGGCTTGGCTCGAAAATTTTCTAACACATTTATTACTCGGGGTATCGAATGGTCTAGATTCTGCGAGTCTATTACTTCTAGCAAAGTAAGAAGCAGCTGGTCATCATCAAATTTATCACGTCCTTGATGGAAATTCCGATGCATAATAACTCGGAGAAACCATTTTTCTATGATTTTGTCGAACTTTAGTCCAGTGTCTTCTGCAAGCATATTATTGTGCATGATATTGAGATCATGGATGCT